GATAGATAGATAGATAGATAGATAGATAGATAGATAGATAGATAGATAGATAGATAGATAGATAGATAGATAGATAGATAGATTTCTCAACATTCTAAAGCATACATATGAAATAAGTATTTTAAGACACAACAAAACAATCATCAAGAGAAGCAACAATATTAATCTACAAAGTGAAGTGTTGAAGGAAACAGAGCTGTTTATCTGYGTGTGTGCGCCAGTCCTGATAATGCAATATGTCACTCAACATCATGTACACACTGAGCCTTCAGCTTCTCCATGCTTGTGCTGAGGCAATACATGCCGTATATGGCAGCAACTATGAGCAACAAGCCTATAGCCAAGAGGAGAATGTAACAAACCATGAGGAATMTGAGCAAACTCCTGTTGGACGGTAGAAACCACACATACACCCAGTTGTTGTGATAATTGTGATGAACATACTCAGGACCTTCTCTGACCACCAACATATCATGAAAAACAGGTGAGGTGATGTGAGCTTTGTTAGGTGGAGTTGTGGCTGAGTATGTTGTGGCTGAGGTGGTTGAGATCACCAGTGGGGGGACTGAAGTGACACGCAACGGTTGTGTTTGTTCCGTTGCCACAACTGGTGTCGAACGAACAGTCGAGGTACTTTTTATATCGCAGTRGTAAAAATCATCGTCGCTCAGAGTGTTAAGTTTGCGCAACATCTGATAGAAAGGACTCGAACACATCACAAGATTTTTGTCGTAAACAATGTTCTCGTTTTCTTTTATCCATCTCACAATCCCTCTGATATYGCAAGAACAATCCCAGGGATTTTCACTCATGTTGAGATGTTTCAGGACCGTGTTTGACAAGAAAATGTCTCCTGAAAGCGTCTTCAGGTGGTTGGTTTTCAAATCAAGTGTCTCGAGTCCTTTAAGGTTCCGGAAGATGTCTTCAGGTAGGGTCTTTAGGCTATTGCCATTGAGGAGCAGTATGCCCAGAGTGGTGAGTTTGGAAAAAAGTTGAGGGTGAAGATGATCAAGGTGGTTGGATCTCAACGAGAGCTTTAGAAGTTTGGGCAGGCAACAAAACAGATCTGCCGGCAGCTGCCTCAGCTCCGTGTTTAAATGCAAGTTCAGCTGCAGCAGACCAGACATGTTCGCAAACAAATTTCCAGGAACAGTGATGAGGTTGGTGGAATACAGATAAAACTCTTTCATGTCTGGCATGTGACCCATCAGCTCGTCTGGCAAAGACACCAAAGGGTTTTTGTAAATGGTGAGCTTGATAAGCTTAGGCATGTTGTAGAACGTCTTAGGTGGGACTCCACCAAGCTTGTTGGAGGACAGAGTTAGGGACATCAGGTTCCCAAGTGACCAGAACACTCTAGGTGGAAGGCTCGCAATCTTGTTTTGATAGAGACTTAGCTTTTCAAGGCTGACAAGTTTATCAAAGACCCCCGCCTCCAACTCCTCTATCTGGTTGCTGTACAACTCAAGTATGCGAAGCTTGGTCAGGGAGTGAAAGACAGTCGATGGAAGCGTCTTTATTTTGTTCTTGGCAAGGTTCAGATAGGAGAGATTGGTCAGTCCCTCAAAAACATCAGATAGGTTGGAGATTTTGTTTTGGTTCAGGTCCAGAATATGCAACCCATCGAGCCCCTTGAACAGATCCGGAGCAATCGTCTCCAACTTGTTCTGATCCAAGAAAATCTCGTTCACAGATGTAAGAGCGCTGAACACTTGAGCAGGGAGAACAGAGAGGTCGTTGGAGGACAGCTTGACACTCTTGAGCTGAGGAGCYACGTGGAAGGCGCGGGGATGGATGGTGTGCAGGTGGCTGTTAGTCAAGCAGAAACGCAGCAGGTAGACCTGCTCGGCGAGACTCCGCTCAGTTATAATGTCCATGCCTGTGTGGGTGAGATTCAGGGTGAAGGTTTGTAGTGGCAGCTTCTTTGGCATGGCTCTGATAGCGTCACCTGTACAATTAACATAACCATCGTCGCCGCACTCGCAGCTGCTGGGGCATGAGACGGTGCAATCGGTGAGGGAGAGKAAGAAGAAGATGACTGTCATCCACATTGTATCTGAGCAAAAATAAATAAATATAAGTGCAAATACTTTCCTTAAATTCAAAAAGTGAAGTCAGATTTTATGTGTTTTTGTAGCTACTGAATAATTATTTCAAAATAAAACAAAACAAGACACATTTTCCACCAACCTCTGCAGGAGGAGTCCATCASTGTCTGCTCGTTGATGTTCTGAGCTGTTCTGCTGTCTCATGCTGTCTAAAAGGAATGAGTCGTCGCTGTCTGTCAAATTGTCCTGCCCCCTTTTTGTCAGCCCTGAAAACCTTACATCTTTATACCAAATATAAACTGAACTTGAATCTCAAACTTGCAAAATCAATTAATTGCTCATCTTATTAGAATCTATACCGTCTTAGAAAGTTTCCTTTTTACAACCGAGAAAGCACAGTGCTATTGTTTGATTAATATTACGGTTTCTATTTGTATTTTTGTGATTTCCRCAGCCACCTTCAGCAGCAAGATTTCTAAATGCCTTTAAAATATTTCTTAAGTGTATGTTCTAAATTTTGGGTCAATTTCATTTTCTGTTTCTTGTCGGAGGCCGTGCCCAAAACTGTCAAACTGTTTTGTCCTCTATAATGAGTTACAGGAGGTGCTGGCTCATTTCCTGTTGTGCACTTATCTTGACCGGAGGGTCTCAGCCTGTTCCATTTCCCGTTTGTTTGCTGGACTGAGATAGTTGACCTTTTCTCAAGTAACACCTTCTGATGACAAATTTAATGGAATTTTACAGTCATCTTTTTCAAAAGATCCGTTCTTGTAAACCTGTTTTTCAGTCAGCTCTGCAGAGGTTCACAGTGTTTTTATAGATGCTCATTTTTACAGCAGTTAATATTTGACATTTGTTTGTTTTTGGACAAAGAGCAGAAGCTGTATTTAAAAATTGACCGGATCTTTTCTGGATCCTTTAACAAATTTAACAAAACTGTATCAAACGATATGTATTTCTCACTTGTTTCCTCCTTTGAGAATTTTAAATGAAAACAAAAATAAAGATAACCATTAGAATTTTTATTTACATAATCAAATTAGCAGCAGTTCATTCCTGAAAGCAGTGACAGATATGGTGATTGCTGGACGTGACGTTCAAAATGTAAGTCTCATACCTGCCACAAGAGGGCGACAAAAACACAAACGTTCAAATTAAAATCTAAGAACATTTCTGTCAAACATGACTCAAGTTTTTTTTCTCCAGTGAGCAGCTGAAATTTTTTTCAAACATCATTCAACTTGTAAAGCAACACTATTTACAGCTTTTTGGGCAATATGCACAGGAAATGGTCACTGACAACATTAGGTTACAACATGTATTGCTGGAATAAATACACTAATTAAATGACTGGTTTTATAAGTTTTAAGGCTTTGTTAAGCTTTGCAGCAAGTTTTCTTGGTGGTCTTCTTTTTGTGTCCACGTYAAACACAATACTTCCAGAAGCAAGCTGTGGGACACACAAGTGCAGAATTAGACAAAGTACTTCAGTAGTTGAATTATTCCCAGAATATTGAGTAAGATGTAATAAACTCACGTTCGCCTCGCTTTCGTGTTATGGATCTGTCGTCTGCCAAATCTGCAGAAATCTTCCTCTCCAACTCCATATTTTCACGCAGTTCTTTCAGCTGTTTGCAGAGATTAAACACATTATTAGAAATTCATTCAGGCACTTTGAACTGTAGAAAAATTGTTGTTTTTTTCGACTTAGTGTCTTCTGGCACAATTTTAGAGATACTTAAGTTTTAGCTGCACAGTGTTACATTTTTTAAACTCTTGTTTACCTAACAATCCACAGTCTAAAGTCTTACCTCTTCAAGCTCAGCTAATGTATATGCCAGTTTCATACCTACAAACAAAAAAAAAGTTAGCACGCAAGAAAAATGTGTTTAATGTAGAACCTGCAAAAAAAAACATACCCAATGCATCATCGTTCTCAACAGGATGTGAGCTTTTGTGTAATAAAAGTGACAGAATCTTGCTGTGAGGGTCTGTGTCTTCTTTAGAATTAAAAACATGGTTTCCTGCACAAACGTACAAAAAGTAGCACAATAAGCTCAAACATATTCATAAGATCAGATCGTTCTTTTTTTTAGCTTTTGCCCTTTTTTGTGTTCGTCATAAAGCATCTACAAAAAGTAAAAACAAAAATAAAATGCTTTGAATAAAATGATTAGTTTTGCACACTCACCAGAGGTAAATATGCTCCTCCCCTCCACATTGATAACTCCCTGCAGAATTAACAAACCAAGGAGTGCTGAACAACCGTTCACGAGTGTAACCCTGTCCATGGCACTGAGTGTCCTAAGTGAAACCTGAGCTATATAAACCTTCTTCAAACAACTGAACCTTCGTTAAACAACTCAAGCAATCCTCTCCTTTGAGTCCATCAAGTCATATTTATACACTCCTTGKCTGAAGAGGAGGGGCCAGTCTCCTCTTCTGGCTCTAAATCAGMAACAAGTCATCTTTTTCAACAGCCCATCGTCTGACGGAGACCATGAAGCGTTTGAATAAAATACAGACTCTGACGTTGCTGCAAAGGCCAGTACATCACTTTGGCATGRCCGAATCAAACAGAGAGGAAGTTATCAATCATCCACTTGGTTATGGCCACTGTCAGATATTATTGGCATCTGCACGTCTTTGTCTTTTACAATAATTGCTTCCTTAAATAGGTGCATGAGAGTGTTTGGATCTAGAGCAAGAGAGGAAAGTAAATTGTTTTAATCTGCAAGATGGCCACAGCACGAAATGAGCTCCTTGGTCTTGGCTTCAGGACTGATTTAGAGCTGAAGGAATATCCATCACCCAGACCAAGCCAATATCACCGCTGCCTGCCCTGTGCATCAATGAATATCATACACCTCTGCCAAAAAGAGCAAACAATATGCTGATGATGTATCAAGAAAATTGGGTGCCATTTATTAAATTTGACAAACAGGAGAGGCTGATATTAGTCCAGTGTGAGGTGTGAGGCAACGAGGTCATTGCATTGAAGACTTTTGCACAAATCCACAGACTTTTGTCAATAGAAGTCATTAAGTTGTCTATTAGCAACAGCTCAAATTTAATGAATACAACCATTGGATTCAGGGAAACAGAAGCTGAATTTTAATCTTTGTGATTTAAAATAAGTTTTAGACAATACTTTAGACAAAATAAACAGAATTAGTCAATAGAAATGGAAGGTATTTAAGCTTTTTTAAAGTGGGAAGACTAGAGCTTTTTACAGCGGGTAAAATAAGTATTGAACACATCATCATTTTCTCAGTAAATATATTACTATGCTAATGACATGAAATTTTCACCAGATGTCAGTAACAACCCAAGTGATCCATACATACAAAGAAATCAAACCATAAATGTCCAGAAATGAAGTTATTTATAATAATGTGGAATGGCACAGGGAAAAAGTATTGAACACACTTACTGAAATTTATCTAATACTTTGTACAAAAGCCTTTGTTGTCAATGACAGCTTCAAGACGCCTCCTGTATGGAGAAACTAGTGGCATGCATTGCTCAGGTGTGATTTTGGCCCATTCTTCCACAAACAGTCTTCAAATCTTGAAGGTTTCGTGGACCTCTTCTATGAACTCTGATCTTTAGTTCTTTCCATAGATTTTCTGTTGGATTCAGGTCAGGTGATTGGCTGGGCCATTCCAGCAGCTTTATTTTCTTTCTCTGAAACCAACTGAGAGTTTTCTTGACTTTGTGTTTGGGCTCATTGTCTTGCTGAAATGTCCAGCCACGTTTCATCTTCATCATCCTGGTAGATAGAAGCAGATTTTTATCAAGAATGTCTCTGTACATTTTTCCACTCATCCTTCCTTCAATTATTTGAAGTTTGCCAGTACCATATGCTGAAAAACAGCCCCACACCATGATGTTCCCACCTCCAAACTTCACTGTTGGTATGGTGTTTTTGGGCTGATGTGCAGTGCCATTTGACCTCCAAACATGATGTGTATTCTGGCATCCAAACAGTTCAATGTTGGTCTCATCTGACCAGACTATATTCTCCCAGTATTACACAGGCTTGTYTAAATGTTGTGCAGCAAACTTTAAAGGAGCTTCAACATGCTGTTTCTTCAGCAGTGGAGTCTTGCGTGGTGAGCGTGCATACAGGCCATGGTGGTTCAGTGCATTACTTATTGTTTTCTTTGAAACAATCATACCTGCTAATTCCAGGTCTGTCTGAAGCTCTCCACAAGTGGTCCTTGGCTCTTGGACAACTCTTCTGATAATTCTTTTCACTCCTCTGTCAGAAATCTTGCGAGGAGCACCTGGTCGTGGTCGAATTATGGTGAAATGATGTTCTTTCCACTTCTGAATTATGGCCCCAACAGTGCTCACTGGAACCTTCAGAAGTTTAGACATTCTTCTGTAACCGATGCCATCATTATGCTTTGCAACAATAAGGTTGTGAAGTTCTTGAGAGAGCTCTTTACTTTTACCCATCATCAGATGGTTCTTGTGTGATACCTGGCCATCATTTGGGACTGAACCAGCTGATATTAATTTGCACTGACAAGGGGCAGGCTTGCTTTCTAATTACTGAGAGAGTTCAGCTGGTGTCTTGGCTTTCCATGCTTTTTTACACCTCCCTTTCTTCATGTGTTCAATACTTTTTCCCTGTGCCATTCCACATTATTACAAATAACTTCATTTCTGGACATTATGGTTTGATTTCTTTGTATGTATGGATCACTTGGGTTGTTACCGACATCTGGTGAAAATTTCATGTCATTAGCACCTCTAGTAATATATTTACTGAGAAAAATGGTGACGTGTTCAATATTCATTTTACCCGCTGTATTTGTTTCAAACAAATGAGCTGCAGGTGCGGCAGTCGCCAGCAGATGGCGCAATCCCATTAACATAACTAAAAACAAGCAGCTGCCTTAAGGTCACATGACAAGTGGGCGTGTAAATATTTGTGCAAATGACAAAATAAGATAAGCACTAGAAAAGACAGCAAAATTATCACCTGTTGTGTGAATGGGACTTATATTCATTCAGACAAACATGTGTGTTGTCATTTAGGCTTTGGCTTCATGCGTCTTCCGAGTGAAGACTTCTACAAGCCGCAAATTACTGAACCTATCATTTCTAGCTAGTTACCGAGTGGTACCGGAAAAAGAACAATCTGTCATTTCAATTTAAGACAAAAACATTATTCTAGCTACTGTGGTGTCTGTAAAATATGAATTATTTGTAATTTAATGAAGTAACAAAAATCTGTTTTCTTGTCAATGTGACTGACAGGTACATTAAATGAACATAGAAATGTAAAAAAATAAAAATAAGAGGGAAAAGAGATAAGAAAGAGGCAATTCATGTGGACTACAGACAGTATGGTGTTGCAGCTTTACTGTCAAATTTCTGTGAAAACATATAATAGCAACAGCTGTTTTTATTTTCCTAAAGTGTGATTTCGTCATTTTTGTATATTGGATGTGTTTTTTTTTTTTTACTCCTTTGTGTACCTGGTAATTAATTAGATTCTAGAGAGGTGGCCTCTAACGTCAAAAAGAACTATTGTGCCCACACAAACAACCATAACAACTGTGCAACAAAAGCCGAGAAAAAGTTATCCAGCCAACACCATTTAATTGGTGCAATAATAATATATTAGTTTTTAAAGACGAGTTTGCATGAAGCTCAGCACAGGACGCAGCTGCTGCAGCTTTTATTTTGATGGGCCACCACCGGAAGTGCCTAACCTGTCTCCAACTTGTTGRTTGTTCGGAGCTGGACGGAGGGAGGGAGTGGACGCTTGCAGGAAATCTGACTCGCCAGCTTCGCCAGCGACGTTTTCAGGAGAGGGTGGTTACCGAAACTAATCAGCAGGGCCGTCCAGCACCTGAGCCATCAATCGGCTTTATGAGTAGAGGCGATAAATCACCGGGCTGCCGTTAACCTTCGAAAGAAACGCGGACACCGTCAGCGGTTATTTGACTTATTTATCGGCGACAACATGGCTGAATGTAGCATTAGCATCGACAAGAATAAACTACCGGGAGTGAAGGAGGGTATGTCCATATTCCCTAGTAAATGCTAAGCTAGACAGCTGTTTGACGTCGCTAGCAAGGCTAATGTTAAACAAATTAAAACATTTTTCCCCCCTGTTTTTTGTTTGATGGTTAAAGCCTGCCAATAGTTGGTGCTAGCCCAGTTAATAAGTAATCACACTCATTGCCTGGCTGTACGTGTCATGCCAGATTTTGTATCCCAATTGATAAATAGTATCGGTATAAAAATACATCATTGTCATGTTTGGATGGTGAAACAACGTGCCCTGTCTTCATAACCAACATATGTTGGATATGAAGATAGCCTTGTGATAATTGGTTTTACGGTATTAGGAAAATGAGCTGTCATTAATGTGTAAACGTGTTCTTTGTTTGGATGACTTGAAACTGAGCTAGCTTTGATCACATGGAGTTGTTGGTTTGTTTTTTTAGGTATGTTGTTCAGCCAGACCTCTGAAGACAGGGTGCATAATGCCAAATCTGACCAATCCAGTTATGGTTTGTTTTTGTCTATGAAAAAGCCACTGTTCTGAAACCAAATCCTTTAAAAAATAATAATAATAATAATAATGTTCAAAATAACAACAGACCTCAAACTTTGTTTACTATAGTTACTGATGTCAGTAGGAAAAGCAAGTGGGCTTTAACTCAGAAGTGGAGCTTGGCTGTGGGGTAATGGAAAGACAGCATCCTGTCTGTGGGAAGCAGCTGCTCAGCTTGATGTTTATTATTCTGGTCAGAGAGAAGAAAGCTGCATTTTTACTGCTTGTCTGGTCTGCCTGAGGAAAGACCCAAAAGGCAACTGGAAAAGTTTTTTGTTGTTGTTGTTGTTTTTGTTCCATCATCCATGTGTGAGATAAATATAGAAACCGTCCTTGTTGTGATTGTGATGAATTCTTATGATTGTGCATTGATTTCTGATATGTCGATAATGGTGTTAATGTAGTGATTCTTCTGTTGTGATTTGTTGTTGTAAACTCTATGGTTTTTATCTTCCACATTAACAGATGAATGGTTGAAGTCCTGTCAAAGCAGACAAACCAGCCACAAACTCCTGGGTTTCTTGGTTAAGAGGATTAGGCATGTGGTAGGAAAATGCTGTTAATCAAATTCCAAACTGGCCAGAGTCAATGTGAGGATTTACAGAGGTTATGACCCTGCGCTTTTTAGCAGGTTTACCTCCTGTCAGTCAGTCATCTGCCATCTACTGCGACCAGATGATCTCAGCCCGTGTGTGTATATGTGCGCTTGGCAGAAATGGCAGCAAAWATTTTAATCCAAGCTTACTCTAATGTCCTCTGACATATAGGATAGTCGCTGTCAGTCACTAGTCAATTAAATTTTACGCAGATGAAGTAATCCTTGAGGATTATTTTGTAGATCTAGTGCACGATTTCCCGAAAAACAGAATCATGGGCTAATTTTGTGTTTCTACATCACGTGATCTAGGCGTTTCATTTTTTTTTTTTTTTTTCAGGAAATGCAAACATAAAAGTCCTCATTGATGTTAGCAGAGATACTCGGATATACAGGAATCTGTGTATATGTGTGAACATTGGCCAGTCCCAATTATTCAAAATGAAAATAGCTGTTTTTCTCATGTCTTCTCATGGGTTTGTGGTTAGTTTTAGGGGGGGTTATATGGAAAGCACCCCTCCTACAAAAACCTGCAAAAGTTGTTTTCAGAATGATTGCTCACAGCTTGCAGGCTGTTTCAGTAATACTGAAAGCAGAKATGGAAATGTTTTGTGGATGTCTGAGGTGGAAAATAACTGGTCAGGTATTGTTTTTGAAAACACATTTGTAGTTATTGTCGTGTTGCTAAAATGTTTTGGATAAACGAAAACTTATAGTTTATGAACACTTGTTAAAAGTAATTTAATAGCTTAAAAATCCATCCTCTGATGAGACTTGGACAATGAGCAAGTAGTTATTTGAATTGTTTTGCTACTGTTGTCATTCACACAGCTTCTTTATGCCCTTCCTGACATTGTCACTGTGTAGCACTCTGCCTCATGAACTGTAAAACCAAAACTCAGATAAGACACCTAGAATGAAAATAAACATATTTTTGTGCATAGTGGTTCCTCATTTCAGTTTCTGTTCTTGTCGGCTTTGACATAAATAGCCAAACCTAGGTGCAAAWTGACCGTCTTATTTATAAAGCTGAAAGTCTGTTGTTCACACTTAAAACTGTTAATCTCTGATCAGTACTACTTATTTAGAGTGGAGGTTGACTATTAACTAAATAAATACTCTTGCATGTGCATTTTTCTGTTTACTTAAATAAATCAGTGTCATTGTCTGCAGTCCTTATCCCCAATAATTAATGTGTACAGGCAGTGGAAAACATTGTTCTAAGTTTGTGCAATCATTTGTTTTGATTTTAATAATATCTTTATTTTATTTTGTAGTATGCCGAGACTTTGCTGTGCTCGAGGACCACAGCCTGGCCTACAACCTCCAAGAACAAGAAAGTAAGAAATTTACTCATGACTTTTACTCTTTTTTTATCGCCCCCCGCCCCCCCACTCTAATCTGCATATTTTCTACCTCTACCCTTCTTATTTCAAACATGAATTTCTTAATAATATAAACTTCCTGTAATGATTCCTGTAAAATATTTTCATGAATTTTCTGAATTCTAAAGAGTTTTTGGAGTGGACCTAT